AGCTCCTGCACAGCTCCTGCACAGTTGACAAAGTGAAGATACAACCCACAGAATGGGAGAGGATATTTGCAAACTATCCATCTGACCAGGGACTATTAATCAGGAATGCAAATAACTCAATAGCAAAGGAACTCAATTCACTCACAAAAAAATTTTGATTAAAAAAATGGGCAAAAGATCTGAGTAGACACTTCACAAAAGACAACACATAAATGGCCAACAGACATATTTTTAAAATGCTGATCACTAATCATCAGAGAGATGCAAATCAAAACCACAACGAGATATTATCTCACCCTAGTTGAAATGGCTCTTATGTCCATGTATTGAGCACACACGTGCACCCCTGAATCTAAAATTAAAGATAAATAAATAGCAAAATGGCTTAGAAAAAAAGACAAAAAATAACAGACACTGGCGAGAATGTGAAGAGAGGGGAACTTGGTGGGAATGTAGATGAGTGCAGCCACTGTGTGTTCACAATTTCCAGAATGAAGCTTTTCATTTCCGTTACTTCAGAATAGGCTTTTTGCAATTGGCTGGCTCTGCTTTTATGTCCCCTATGGCTTCAGGGGTTTCACTTCCAGTTTCTCTGGGTTCTCATTCATTTTTGCCATCCACTCTCTGACTTCTGCAGCTGTCCTCTTGGCAGGCGGCTTGCTTATACTCTAACAGTTGCTTTTTCAGGCGCCGTCTCTTCAGGACTCTGAGGGTGGCCTGTGCTTTTTCACTGATGTCTCTTCCCTGTGACAGGCCTCTCTTTGCTCTCTGCAATTTGTCTCTTGACACTTTGACGCTCTTAAGCTTCCTTCTGTTCTGGAGTCCTTCTGTGGCTTCATGTGTCACTCAGTGGGATGCAGCGGGGTGGCATATTCACATTTGTTCCTTGTTCCCCTGCTGGCAGGTTTCTGGCACTGCACATACATGCTGACCCGCACTCACATACTGGGACCATCCTTCAGCCCCTTGGCGCACTCCGCTGGGTGGGGGGAGGTGGGGGGGATGGGGGAGTGACTCTCACTGCCGTCTGCAGCCTGCAGCCCAGGAGACTTCGAGGAGAGAGTCCTTGGGTTCCTGTTCAGGTCCACATGCTGCTCTTGAAACAGAGCAAGTTCTCTGCCGCGGAGGAGGGGTGGGTTCCGCCCTGCAGGGAATACAGGGCTGGGAGGGGCTTCTTCCTGACCTGGCTGGGGAGACAGTCGCCAGCCACTGGAAGTGACTGTCAGCTGCTTCCTTCTGCAGGTGGCCCTCCCGCCTGTGCCCACCAGCCCACTAGGAACCCACGTTCCTGGTGGCTGGCCCAGTGTGGGTCTTTCTCCCGTTCTGCTTGGTGCAGCTGCCCTCTGCTGCACCCTGCCTAGGGATCCTCCTGCATAGGACGACAACCCCGCACTGCTGGGAGGGGTGAGCCATCCCAAAGCTTCTTTGGCTCACTCACCCACATCTGTCCTCTGGGCAGGGACTCAGTTCTTGGACTAGCCTGGCACACAGTGGGGGACAGGGCGCTCGGATCACGGCGTCCACCTTCACTTCCTCGTTCCCATGTGTTCCAAGAGACCTTGGCTGGGGCAGGGTGTTTCGCCATCCAAAAGTGCTCAGATATTTCCGCTGATCATCGTGGGGTCCCTACTTTCTGCCTTGCTGGGGGCAGCAGCAATCTGCAGCTCCGTGGTGGCCACCTTGGTTCCCCCACAAAGCCACTATGGAAACCAGTATGAAGGTTCCTCAAAAATCTCAAAATCAGTTGGGCGTGGTGGCTCAGCCTGACATCCCAGCACTTTGGGAGGCGGAGGCGAGAGGATTGCCTGAACCCAGGGGTTCAAGACCCACCTGGGCAACTTGGCGAGACGTCGTCTCTACAATAAATCGAAAAATTAGCCAGGCATGGTGGTGCGTGCCTGTGGTTCCAGCTACTTGGAAGGTTGAGGAAGAAGGACTGCCTGAGCCCCGCAGGTTGAGGCTGTGGTGGCTCCAACTCAAAAAAACCTCAGAATAGAACTACGACATGATCCAGCAATCCCACTGCTGGGTAAATATCCAAAAGAAAGGAGATCGGTACACGCAATTGATATCTGCGCTCCCATGTTTATCACAGCACTATTTACAAGAGCACAGACACGGAATCAACCTAAGTGCCCATCGGCAGGCAAATGGATAAGAAAGACGCGGCGCGTTCACAAAACGGAGTCACTGCTCAGCCGTCAGAAAGAACGAAGTCCTGTCACTGGCAACAGCCTGGACGGAACTGGACGGCATCATGAGAAAAACACATCGCACGACCTCACTCCCACGTGAGAGCTTAGAGATCCTGATCTATGGTACAGGGCGATGGTCGCTGCAAAGGGCAGTGGGGAGGAAGGAGTGCAGAGGGCCTGGGCGGGGGCGCCCATGCACCACTAGATCAGAGGAACGAGAGCTAGTGTCCAGCAGCACCACTGAGTCCCTGCAGTTAATCATTTCCTGTGTGTGTCGGCGTAGCTAGAAGAGCGGGATCGGAATGCTGCCTACCCACACAAAGTGCCGTGTCCAAGGTGATGGATCTCCTAACTATCCTGATGTGATCTTACACCTTATCTGCTTGTACCAAAATACCACACATATGCCACAAATATGTAAAACTATTATGCATCCATACAAGTTGAAAATGAGAAAAGAATGATGTTGCTTCCTCCAGAAATGATTTGCATTCACTTCTGGCAGGCAGGTGGCCCAGAGACACCGGCAGCCCTGCTCTCCTTTATTCAGTAGGTATTGCAACAATTCAAACAGGGACTCTAGCCTCTATGAGAGTTGGTTTAATTCTGGCTCACCCCTTATCCCCAAAGAACGGCCTCTTAGGGTCCCAACCAAATACCAGGGCTGTGATCAGGGCTGTGATCATTCCAACCTGGAAGGTCCTGACTTCTGTCCCAACCCTGTGAGTCTGGCACGAACTCTGCTCAGATGTTAGTCAGACTTCCATTCAAATGAGCAGTCTTCCACTTCAAGAAAGAGGGCTTGTAATGATTCACTAACACCAGGCAGCCTGAGGCTTGGCTACCCACATGCTCCCAGATTCCCCCTTCCTTGACCAGAAGGGCAGTGGGCAGGAGTCTGGAGACCTGAGTTCTAGCCTACAGGTATGGTCAGCACTGGTCCTGTGACTTTTGGGCTGGATCCCTCAAATGTCTCCCACCCTTACATGTAAAATGCATCTGGATAAAAATCTTTGTGAGTCTTTTGCTTGTTCCAGAAGCTTCATAATCACCAACATCCCTGCCATCTCGTTCATTAGACAATCCCAGGTTATACATTCTTCTGCGGACCCATCCATGCCAGCCCAGTGACTCACTGCAATGCTCCATTTCCATGAGCACATGATCACAAACAGACTTAAACCACACGTTATGAATCTAGATTTCCAAAGGTGTTTCCCTTCGGCAACTGTGCCCATTCGCAGGGCAGCTCCTACCGTTTGTTGCCCCGGCCACTAAACCACGCAAAGCTGGCGAGGACCCCCATAGGCTTGGGCCGAACATCAGAAAGCCCGGCCTGAGCGAGGAAAGGAGTCACAGCCATGGGGCATCACTCCCACTGACCTTGAACCACAGGGGCTCGAATAGCACAGGCCATTCTGAGTTGTCTCCACCATCTGAGACAACAAGTTATTGTCTGCCCCCTCCTCCTCCCCCGCTTCTCCTCCAGCTACTCAACAAGAACAAAGACCTTCACGACAGTCGGCTTCTACTTAGTGAACAATAAACATAATTGGTCTTCCTCATGATTTTCTTTGTAAGACTTTCTTTTCTCAAGCTTACTTTATTATAAGACGGTATACAACATATGCGGTTAGAAAGCCCATGTTGATTGTATAGGTTATTGGTAAGGCTTCCTGTCGGCTGTAGGCTATCAGCAGTTAAGTTTCAGGGGAGTCAAGATCACCCATGGATTCCTGACTGTGCAGGGAGCCAGCGCCCAAACTCCCAAATAGTTCCAGCAGCAACTGCAAACAGACCCAAAGGAAAATGGCCTGAATCACGGCGCATTGAAATTCATCTTGTTAAAAAGAAGCTTGCTGACTGTGTGTCCAGCAGCAGGCCAAAGGAGGGCACAGTCAAACACTTTTCAGTCCTTGGTTTCTGAAGCCAAAATTTGGTACTTTCTTCTGCAGACGAGAATACCAGAAGACGTACAAACATTCTACTTGTTTTCAGGATGGACCAAAGAACCAGTGGTTGACGTTAACGACAGGCTAAACCAAAGTCCCACTTTCACAAGCACGAGACCGAAGGCAGTCACCTCACAGCTAAGAGAAGGTTCTGCACAAACGTGCCAGCTCCCACCTGCATTCCTCACTGCCTCCCCACCCCACCCGCACCCTCCTGGACAGCAGTGCGCCTGCCGGAACCTCTTCTGTGCAACACAGGGCCTGGATGCCACTGTCTCTTGGGTGGTGTCTCCCCTGCCTCACAGTGGCTGGACCAATCACAAAGCAAAGGAACCTGTTCCAAAAGCCAGACTGCAACCAGCACCCCGGAAGGAGTCATCCTCAGCTCCACTGTCACCTCAGCTGGAAACAACCAAACTCTCTGTTGGTTCTTACTTTTGCCAAGGGAAACTGAGTGTGGCGGAGAAGGTGCCAGCCAAGGAGTGACGCGTGAGTCCTCGCCCTGCTGCTGTCCAGCCGTGCTCACTCAGACATCCAGCGCCCACTGAGAGCTGACCGTGGGCCAGACGTCCTGCTGGGCTTTGCCGATGTAAGAGTCTAAGACGCAGGAGGGGCCTGCTGTCACAGAGCGAAGTGCCAGAGGGCACCTGTGTCCCCGTCGGCGCAGTGAAGGTGCTCTCCCACTTTATCTCTGAGGTTCCCTCTGACTTCGAAGTGCTACGGTTGTACGACCTGGGATACAGCCCTGGCCGGCTACACACGTCCGTGCGGCCACAGATGGGCACAGCCTCTCTGGGCCTTGCTTTCCACGTCTATGAAGCCACAAGCTGGATGTGGCGATGTTGCCCGTTACCTTGTGCAGCCACAGGGGCAGGCTTCCAGAATCGCTCTGCAGGGAGTCCTTCTGCTGGACGGCTGCCCAGCAGTACGAATCCACAAAGGCAGCCTGGCGCCAGGAGAAGGAGCTTGGCGAGAAACAGCTTATCTGCGTACCTGAGAAGCAAAGCAGAGGTTGCGCATGAATGTAAACGCAGTTGCCTGGACCCTCCCCTCACATTTTTACGTGCCACCTAGGTTGGGGAGGTGGGGACATAGAACTAAAAACAAACGCCCAAGTTCATATTAAAAGTGAATATCAGACATTTTTGGGGGCCAACTCTGGTCCTGAAAGCAGCTTGGGCTCAGTTTGGGGAAAATCCTTGAAAGAAGTGAAGACCCCATTAAGGGGGGGGGCAGAAAAAGAGTCAGAGGCCACAGTGTGTGAGGAATAGCGGCTCGACCCAGTTCAGTTAGGGGAAGCACTGAGAGAAGGGAGAGGCTATGTGGGGGTCAGGGAGGAGCCTCGACGCAAAGGCGGGTGAAAAAGGAGTTCTTTTAGAGCAAAAAGACAGAGAACTTCCAGCCTGGGGAAGAGAAGGCAGAAGGAACACTTGGGAAGGGGCCATGGGAGGGCAAGTCAGCCGCTTTTCACCTTCCTAAGGAAAAGGAAGAAACAGGCCCTAGCTGCAGCCCTCGGGGTTCACAAGTGAGAGGCCAACGCACGCCCAGACTCCCCGACAGGAGGCGGCCAGAGGGGCCTGGGAGACCTGGGTCCCGCCAGGGCTCTGCAGTGAACGTGCCCTTCCGGAAGAGGACTCCGGGACTGGACTTGCTCCTCTGCACATGGAAGGCCGCAGCCCCTGCAGATACTGCCATCGCAGCTGTAACACCTTCCGCACGGAAGATTCTCACTCAGACATCCAACATGCACGGAGAACTGACAGTGGGTCACTGGGCCGGGAGGACGGTGGGGCTCGGGTGGAAGCCATGTCCTCCCAGCCTCCCCCGCAGGGGGCAGAGGGGCTGGTGCCGAGCCTCCGCGGCAGTCTGGGCCAGCCCCCTCCCTGCCCCCATCGGGCACACACAGGAGTGTGCGAGTCGCGGGACGGGCCAGCTGCTAGGCCCGCAGCGGCTGGCTCTTCCACTTCCCCCACAGCGAGGAAGAGTGCTAACGCCCGGCCTCTGAGAGGGATCTTAAGTAAACCTGCCTCTCCTGGCTGGGTGACTCACAGCTGATGACTCACAAAGCCTGGAGTCTCCAAAGCGGGAATGGCATTCATGGTGTGTCTACACTACAGATCTGTTGAGGTGACTAAAAAAAAAATTCTGAAAAAGGACAGTTGCCTCGGCGCCTGGTTCCCAGCAGCTGCTCAGTAAGATGAAATAACAAGCAGACTCTGGCATAGCGGCAAAGACCGGCACACCAATCTCCCTTCCTGCCCTATGGAGAAGGGACAGTGGGCAGACACCGCGCTGGATGTCCCTGGTCCCTGCACACAAAGGTCTCAAAGGGCCGCCTTCTCCCGGGGAGGAGGCGGCCTTGACAATCTCTTCTCTTTTTTTCTCCTCTTTTTTGAGCCAGGTCTTACTCCGCGGCCCCGGCTGGCATGCAATGGCATGACAGTGGCATGATCGCAGCTCACCACAGCCTCCAACTCCTAGGCTCGGGCCTCCCTCCGCCTCAGTCTCCCACGAGTCGGGATTACAGGTGTGTGCCACCACACCTGGCTAATTTTTTGACTCTGCAGAGATGAGGTCTCGCTATTCTGCCGGCTAGAGTTTCACTCTGTCGCCCAGGCTGGAGTGCAATGGCATACTGCTCACAGCCACCGCAGCCTTGACCGGCTGGGCTCAGACAATCCTTCTACTTCAGTCTTCCAAATAGCTGGAACCACAGGCACACACCACCACACCTGGTTAACTTTTTGATTTATTGTAGAGACGAGGTCTTGCCAAGTTGCCCGGGTAGGTCTTGAACCCTGGGCTCAGGCAGTCCTCCCAACTCGGCCTCCCAAAGTGCTGGGATTACAGGCTGAGCCATCCACCTAGCCTAATGCTCTTTCTATAGAAAAAAGTCCTTCAAGTCCTGTCCGGAGACTTCAGGGGCCTCTTCCAAGGCAGTGGTCGAGACCCCTGGAGCAGACATAACGAAACTATTTATGCCAAAGCTTTTGCAAAAGAGGAAGAAGGGAAATATAAGGAGAAAGGGCGGGAGAGAGGGAAGGGGGAGAGGGAGAGGGAGAAGGAGAAGGAGAAGGAGAAGGAGAAGGAGGAGGAGAAGGAGAAAGAGAAAGAGAAAGAGAAAGAGAAAGAGAAAGAGAAAGAGAAAGAGAAAGAGAAAGAGACTGGGGAAATACAGGGCTCACGACCAAACCTTCATCTGGAACAAGATCAGAAGACAAGACAGTGGGAACTATACTTACTGATAACAACTAGCACTTGAAGTCATTACCATATTTCAGCCTTACAAGGAAATGTAGAGAGCTCTGATCTTCCTTCTACTCCAGGGAAAGCAAAGCTCAAAGTAGTCTGGTAATCCCCTAGGCAGGCTCATCAATGAGCCTGGGCTGTCCCCAGTAGGGGGCCAGGGCTTCCTGGAAGGCGGTGGCTGGGTAGGAGGCACCTCCCAGGGGCCTGGGGTGGGTCAAGGGTCAATCTGGGAAAAGAAACAGATCGAGCTGTAGGTATTGGGCACTCCCAGACCTGGGAAACAAAGTCTAGGAAGTCAAGAGCAGGCGGGGGCAGGTGTCAGTCGGGCGTGAAGAGCAGGATGGAAAGAGGGGTGGGGACACCCGCAACCCCCCTCCGGGCCATGGGTCAGGTCCTCCGTCTGCCGGCCACATCTCGCAGGCCTGCCTGGCGACAGTCCGCCTGACCAAAGGCACCCGGGTCAGCGTGGCAGGCGGCTGCTGTGAGCTAGAACGCTCGGGACCAAGCTTGGGACTCTCTCCCCCAGTGCAGCCCCACATCCTCTCTCGTTTGCTCTTCACAACCCTGGGAGGTGAGCAGGCCGGGTCTCCACATGTCTTCCCAGCAGCCTCCTGGCAAGGGGGGCGCCCAGCCTCTCCCTGCTCCCCTCGCTCACTGACACCAGATGACTCATCCCAAAGCTCAGATCTGACTCCGGCACTGCCTAGGCTCAACAGTTTTCAGTTTCCCCACTGCCAGGGTGCAAATCCTGGGCAGCGCTCCAATCCAGCCCACCGACGGCTGCGGCTTGTGCAGGCCCGACACATCCTCAGATCCGAGCCTTTCCCCCCAGGACCCCCTGCCCAGACGCCCTCTCTCCAACACTCCAGGCCAACCCAGGTCAACCCCCATCCACACCTTCCACCCCGACGCCTCACCTTCAAAGCCTGGCTCAGACGCCACCCTCTCCACACAGCTTCCGCCCCACTGGCCTCCCACAGCACCTCAAAGCCGCCAGAGATGTGCCGTGTCCTGCAGACCATGCTGTCGCCACCCGTGCTGCCTCAGGTCTCGGCAGGCAGGACACCCTGTCTCTCCGAGCTTCACGCCCCACCCGTACCAAATGAGTGACATCTGTCTGGTGCTTTGAACGGTGCAGATGATGTTCAAGTCTCCCTGCAAGACACCACTGACCCAGCCAACAGCGGAGAAAACAGCCCGCTGAGACGCCACGGCCAGAGCCTCCTGTGTGTCCCTCGTGAGCACACTGCAGTGCCTAGGGAGTGGCACCGGCGAGGGACATGCTGCCTTTCAGAGCTGAACCGGGCAGGGCGTCCGTTTCAGGCTCAGCCAGGGGCCACTTCATGCCTTCCAGCCGGCTGAGAGGGCAGAGGCCGTGGCTGTCCCCTTGTGTGTCTGGCCAAAGATCATGAAAGGCCACAAGGAGGAAGCGAGCGCTCGCCAGCCCCAAGGAAGCAGCCACACCGCAGACGTCTCCTGTCAAGCCTCCATCTACCGTCTGGGACGTCTCCTGTCATCCTTCCGTCCACCTCCGGGGCCTTGGCCGGGAGCCCGGGATGCAGGTCGCACCTCGTCAGAGCGGCACCCCGGCAGCCTTGGTGCAGCCTGGACCGGACCCCTGGCGACCCGAGAGCCACACGGCCCCAGGCCACCCAGGCCCCTGGCCAGGCAGGCGAGAGTGCCCGCCCGAGGGCCCCGGCGGCCCACGCCAGCCAGCCGTGCCCTCCTTGCGGGTCCCACTGTGGCAGGAGGGGCCGGGCGCACTTCTGCTTCTGCCCACACGTCCTTCTCTGGCTCCTCTCTCTGCACAAGCTTCCTCCGCTCCCATGCATCACCAGCCACCAAAGGAGCGGAGCCCTGAGCGAGTCCCGACACGCGGCCCCCTCCCTTCCGGACCGGTGAGTTCTCTTCCATGTTGAGTGCTCCCGGGGACCTGGCGAAACTCCTAAAACCGCAAAACCGCAAGTTTAACTCGTGAAAACAGGAACAGAAAGGTCTGCTCACCAGGAGGACTTTGTAGGCGCCTCAAGGCAGAAGAGTCGGAGCTCAGGTGGCGACTAGATGGCGGACGGCTGCAGGAGGAGGGCAAGCGGAGGGACGTGCGCGCACGCGAGGTGCGAGATCGCAGGCCTGCGGGCTGTGGAGCCGGATGTCCACCAGGCCTCCATCCTTGCCTCGCAAACACAAGGAAGGTGGGGTAGGAGACCCAGGCTCTTACAGAAACCGGGTCAGACGTGGTGGGAGGAGAAGGAAGGGAGGCAGCAGAGCCTGGGCCGCTGTTGTTCTGGGAGGCACCAGCCGTGACACTCGGTGACCCCAAGAGACACCCTGGAGGGGCCCCAAGCAGGGGCTGGAGACGGGGGTGGGTCCTGGGTCCTGGGGTGGCCAAGGCTCCACCCGGCGGCAGGCAGGTCGCAGGACGGTAGGCCCAGCCCTCCCGCCTGCCTCCCGCATCTGGCAGCCTGCACCGGGCGCGTGCTGAGTACCCTTCCTTGAGACCCTGGACTGGTTCGGACCAGACGGGCACGCCCGGGTCAATGCCCACAACCGGATGGAAGGTGGAAAAGAAAACCAAACGACTCTGCTATGCTACCATTCATATGCTCAAAACTGAATCCTGCAAAATCACTAAAATAACAGGGCTTGAGGAGCACAGGTGGGGGAAGACACTCGGGAAATCTCTGCAGGTGTCCACCAAGACACTAACACCACCAGCAGCAATCCAGATAAGAACACGAGGCGGGGTGCAGAGCGGGGTGGCGGCGCCAGGGGCGAAGCCACAACCGAGACCAAAGGGGACAGCCTGACGGCTCTTCTGAGACGAGCCCGCGGCCAAGCAGGGCCCGGGAGACGAGGCTGTGGGGCACCGCGGCCCGCCAGTTCTCTTCGGTTCGCCTCCCGGCGTTCCCAGCGGCACAGATCAGCCACACGCAGGAAAAGCCACAGTCGACCCACTTGGGCTGACATCAGCCCCCAAGCTCTGGCCACGTGAGGAGGCTCCACCCTCACGGAACCGCCCGCGAAGGGGAAGAGGCGGTGTGCGCCACGTGCGCTAAGCGGCAGGAGCCCCTGCGCTGCCAGCCCAGGAAAAGACACGTGTGGGCGAGCCGGCGTGACACCCGCCTTTCGGGGCAGGCGCAGGCTCGGAGGGGTCAAGTCAGCGGGAGA